GTAGGCCGTGCTTGGTTTGAGAAAATGAAGGAGAACGAAGACGAAGATGCACGGCGCCGTAACCCTATTTTCCAAGTGAGACAAACATTGAAACCCTTACAAAACAATTGTCAAGCGCAATGGGCCTTTCCCCATTCAGAATACCTGAGCCCAACTTAAAAACCAGCGCCTTACACCCCCTTTTTTCTAATCCTATCTATTTTTGTTTGGGCCATTACAAATCCCCTAGGCCCATTCAACATTTTTCATATTTTTTTAACTCATACATCAATCTTTTCTTTCATTTTATTTTTGTCACTTTACTTCTTTTTTTTTAGTAAAATATTACATATACAAATTTTTTCTTAAAATAGTCCTTTTTTATATTATTACAATAAAAAATACATAAAAATAGAATTTTGGGTTAAATAATCTTTTTTACATCATTAACCAAAACATAAAAAAAAATAGAATTTCTTAAAACATTTTCTTTTCTTTTATTAAATCTTTTGTTTATACATATTTAACAAAAATACAAAAAGAATAAATAAATACTTAAATTTGCATTAAGTTAACAACTTGTAAATATTCACATACATATCTCACCAATACATTTGCTTGTCTTTTTTACATTGCTACATTTTACATTGCGATTGATTCGATTTGGTTGTAAATATTTGGACACTACTCTCCTAACAAGTCTCATCCCCATTTGTAAATATTTGTACCCCCACTCCCGGATACTTATTTGTAATAGCGTAGACTTTAAATTCCCGCAATTTATCGCTTTCAAATATACCATGTTTAGACCTAGGGTTTGTATGTTAATAAAATCAAACGCTAGATAACCTAACACAAAGACAAATGCATGACAATCAATACACCTTTCACACTTGCACCCCTAGGGTAATCCCGCTTGTTGCCTTCCAAAATGGGCCAGGCTTGCACGTTGAGTATCTTTGACAAAACAAAACAAATTCGAATGATCATAGTCCCTCGATGACGCTTTCGAAAATTGTCTAAACGAAATGATCAAGTCCCTTCAAGCAAATTGCCAAAGACACTTGGCACCATTGCATTCATGGTCCGTACGATGACCCGCGCCCGTACCGTTAACATCCTAACACAAGATTGTCCACCAAATACAATGGTGGAACAATACTGTTAAAAGGGTTAAAACATAGAAAAAACCTTTGAGTAAATTTAGGGGTAAATAACTCTTAGTTACTTGATCAACTTGCAAAACACACTTACCTACTTTTCAAAACCCACTCCACAAACACAATTTCAAAATAACTTTCAAAACATTGAAACATCTTTTCGAAAAGATACACACCTTTGTAAAACATTCGAGTAAAGAATTGTTACAACGGTTGCCTAGACAAGGCGTCTTTTTCAAAACATTTTCAAAACACACACACACCACCATTTCAAGCAATCGAAAATCAAAGGCAAGTGATCTAAACAAGTAACTAAGAGCCCATGGATAACCATAGATGAAAAGGGTGCTAATACCTTCCCTTTTCATAATCTACCCCCTGAACCCACGAAACATCTCAAAAGGTTTTTCCTGTGCTTTTTAACCTTTCCTTTAGGATAAAATAAAAAGTCGGTGGCGACTCTTGCTAAACCGAACAAATGCGAAAACAAACGCAAACCTCAAGTCAGTTCTCCCACCGTATCACACTGAGTCTCATCAAACTCCTGTAGCACTTGCGTCTCGATCCTCCAAATCATCCATAATCATACGCACCGTCGTCGCCTGGTCCCTATAAACTGGTGTAAAAAATGTACCAGCAATCGGAATGTGAAAGATGACGTCCACATCATCTAAAGTCATTGTCATCTCCGTAAATGGAAGATGGAAGGATAATGTCTTCGGGTGCCACCTCTCAATAAAAGTTGATAACAGAGAGGCGTCCAACATGGTCAAAGAGCAATCAGCAAACTCCAGGAGATGGAACTCTCTAACAATTCTCCTCACCTACTCAGGCATGGGACTCTCAGGGAAGTTCTTCAACTTCGAACCATGAGAAGCGATCTTCAACACCGAACACTCCTGTAAGAAGCAAAAACAAATTATTATACATCAAATCTTGTAAGCAAAAATAAAAATTATGTAATTAAACAAAACCAAAAATATATATCTTACCATGCCATATCCTATAAGCGACATGGTGCGCAAATCCTGTAAGCACGGACATGTCTGAAGGTTCTATAGGGAAACCTCCATCGGTGTGTATTGATGGCTCTGTAGACGCACAAGTCCTGGTGTCTGTATCAGGGAAGGACACCTCATTAACTCGCTCAGCAACAATCTCTTGTCCTATCTCCTACACCACAGACTCCACAATATGCTCCTCAACTACCGACTCCATAATAAGAACATGAGCACGTACCTCCTCAGTAGGAGCTTGTACCTCCTCAATAATAGCCCGTATCTCCTATGTAGGAGTTTCTACCTCCTCGACAGTGGATACTCTAACACCCCAACATCGGAATTGCGCTTGCTGCTCAACCATTCGTTTCTAGTGAGAACCGGTCGGAGGATGGCGTCTAATCTGTAGCTTTGAAGCATGCGACTCGCCAGCCTGGACTTCAACATCAGCTCGATCAGTGGTTTGTCCCGCAATAGAACCATCTCCGCCTTTGGTCCTCATTGCAAAATAAGAAAATATTAGGAAAATATAAACTACCGAAAATTTCTAAATTTCCGATATTTTAAAAAAAAAATTGAATTACGAAAATTTTTAAAATTTCTGGTATTCTGTGACGTACCAAAAATGTCAAAATTTTCCGGTATAAATGGTATATAAAAATACCAGATATTTTGAAATTTTCAGTACGAAAATATCAGATATTTTAAAATTTTTGGTATAAAATACCAGAAATTTCACAAATCTACCGTAAATTCGTTAACGAAATTTCCGATATCGCTAAAAAAATTTAAAAATCCAGTTGGTCATGTAAATTTGGAATTTGTGGTGAATAATTTGGGTTTGGACAATTTTGTCTTTTCATACCATTTGGAGAGTTCCATATATAATGTGAGAGGTGACAAGTTAATTTCTCGAAGAGAAGTCGACTCCTCGATATATTTCTTAAACTCTAAGAAATAATCCATCAACTTAAACTTATCTTGTTTGGAGCAAAAAATCTCTTGCAAAAGAACATAAATGCAATTCAAATTATAAGATTTACCATAAATAAATTCCAAAGAATCACACAACTCTTTCGCAATCTTGTTGTGAGAAAACATATTGAGTTCACCTATCCTCTATAGTCTATATTGTGTTGCCTTTGATTTCTTTGATCAATTCTTTCCCATTTCTCCGAAACTAACTTCAACTAGATGCTTCACTCCACACAGTTCTCATCATCCTCATAAGTTTTGTCAGTATTAAATTGATGTAATGAGAGCTTAATATTTCTTTAGTAAAAAGAATGACTACTAGTATATGACTATAGGGATACAAGCCTTATGGATCCCATACTTATAATACTCTTCCCGCAACACTAAGAGACGCAAACCTGCTCAAAAACAGATAGTTAATTAATGTTATTCGGAGCACATTATATAAAAAATGTACACTTTGGTTAATTAAAGCAGCAATAATTTTGACTGTTCTGCCATAACAAGCAGCTATCGATCATTTTTATATTAAAAAAATGGTGTTCACTTGAACTGAACTAGCAATTCAACAAAAATAGAAGAATTGGTAGGAAGCGCTTAAAGAAACAACTTTCCACACTAAGATTTTGATTGTTTTGCTGTCAATAATTTTAAAACAATGACAGAACTTGCTCTCAAATGTCAATGCGTTGATGTTTAATCACTAACGGATTTCTTCGTTTCATGAGCCCTCTAAAGAAATACTCACACACCCAAAGCTGTTTCTGTGTATTTCGTAATTCTGCACAGATGGGTTTGCCTGTGTTTTAAACAAAAGTGAGATGCCAAGAGTTGTCACTTGTTTCATTTTGATGCGGCAGGCAATCTTTACACGATCTCCCTCTTGGTTTAGGTTTAGTTAATGTTACATAAGAGCAATCTACATCATACTTGTGTTGACAGGAACTCTAATTCAAATGATATCGTAATATCCAAAGGTGTCAGATCTTAACCATAAAAAATTATAGAAATGACATTACAAGCACCTCCAAGAAAATGTTCAAAAGCAAATACTGGTCATAAATAGCAAAACTATGGTGCTGAAAGTTTGTAACAGTACACTCCAACACTTGCACCACCCAATCATATTCATGTGTGCATAGCCAATACGTTTAATGTGTGTACATTGGAGGCAACAGAATGGCCATAATAAGAGGTAAGGCAATGCATGATACAGTTTGAACCAGAAGATATGGACGGACGTCACCAAAGAACTTGCAATAAAAGGTATGGCAGTGCATTTAATATGTGACAGATTTTCTCTCCAATGTTGCTATTTAGCAGCAGTCTGACTGAATGCTCTGGTTACATAGCAGCAGCACGTGCTCAGTTGTCTCCGACTCCAAGTTACACCACCAACAATCAGTACCATCGTGTACCCTTTTGTCGATCAATCTTACACAAGTTGGGAAATACATTGCCTTCGGTAGTAGAGTCCCACATCAAAAGAAAGTGAAAGCTATTGAGATAAGCAAGAGTATAAAAGAACTTCAATACCCACATTGGAACATACTTACCTGGATGGGGTCAATGGTTGATCATGAAGGATCATGGCCTAGGAGAGTGACCTCCATTGCACTTAGGAGGGGTGCTATCTTAAGGTCTACCCAAGTGGTGGAACCTACATCATAATTTGTTGCAGTGGGGGCCTGCGTTCGCGCGGCCCCTCTTATTTTCATACCAAGGTTTGAATTCTTTTCTTAAATTCTACATGGTTTAAGAGATTGTCAAATGTTATATTGCAACAATGGCAATCAATTGAAACTGATGTTCAGTTCAGACTCAATTTGCTCCCTCTAAACATGAAAGTCCATCAAACACACACCAATACTCATGAAACCCACCAAACATGGAAGTCCATCACACACACACCCATGAAACTGATGCTCAGTTCAGACTCAATACGCTCTCTACAACTATTCTGATTTTCGGACTCCACAATAATCAAGAACAAAGCAGCTTCTGTGTCTGTCAATGGTACACACACCATAATACCAAAACGTATGTAGATTCTCCCTTGTTTGATATTGTATTTTCATAAGCTACGACAAAAACAAGTTTAAAGATATTTATAGCGTGGATGTGATTATATGGTGCAGGGAATAGAACCACTATTGAAAAAGTTTAATTTTATAGAAACATTGTTCACAACCGATGTGGCATATGCATGAATCCTGCAACGTATTTAACCCTAGTTTTAATAAGGTATATTGATTTGGCAAGTACATAGAATGACATGAATAACAGATTAGCAAGAGTGTTTGAACATTCTAAATATGCAGTTTGCTTTTCAATTTGTTTTACTCATATACCTCACTATGCTGAACATGTGTGTTTTGATCTCACTCTTCATGTTTTTTTTTATCCTTATTCTATAAACAAGCATGTTTTCTAAAGATAGTGAATATAATAGTTAATATTTGTCAAGCATGTTTTCTAAAGATAGTGAATATAATAGTTAATATTTGTCAAGCATGTTTTCTAAAGATAGTGAATATAATAGTTAATATTTGTCAACAGAAAGAATGTTTCCAGAGAAGGCATCATGGCCTGACTCTAGTTATAGAAGACCTGCAACTAGCTGATACAATACAAGTCTAGTAGCAGTAGCCATAGTTTTAAATTGTTGTCTACAATCCACAATATTCAGTTGTAATATATAAACTATAGAAGTTTTCACAATGGTATTACAACAACAGTTACTGTTGTATCAACTGTATCTATTTGCTTGTATTTTACCACAATATTAAAATCACAAAAGGGACGACGGCCACAATTTATACCAGTATAGATGTAGCATTTTGCTTAGATCTAACAAAGACCTAGGAAATGAGAGCCACTTCTCTGCATGTTACCTATTTAATTAATGTTACATAAGAGTAAATTATTGAAGTGTTGAGCTAACATGAACACAGTAGTAGACTCCAAATTATTGCATTAAAGTCCCACATTGCATAGTTAGAAAATAATCATATCAGATGTCAGATATAAAATGCACAGTAAGCATGTATTTTCCTTCATACCTTTCTCGGCCTTTTGGCTAAGATCAAGTGTAGTATCTGTTCTTATCAGTTTAATATCTGATATGTGGGCTAATGGTCCACACGATATTAAATTTATTTCTTGAGGGGGAGAGACCACTACAATAGCTTGCTATTGGGTCTCTCTAGTGTCGCTTTTGTGTTGCACTATTGCAATCGCTTGGCACACCCCACCAATCCTAGTTCAAATTTTATATTCTTTTAATTTTTTGTAACTTTTTAATTTAAATATTCAGAATTCATAACTGTTAAAATTGTATATATATTTTGTATATTATCTTTTAGTCAGAATTCATAACTGTTAAAATTGTATATATATTTTGTATATTATCTTTTATAAAGTTAATTTAAATATTCAGAATTCATAACTGTTAAAGTTGTATATAAATTTCGTTTATCATCTTTTATAACTCACATTTTTCATTACATCTGCAGAATTCACTTCTTTAGTATCTCTGCTCTGCTGCCTGTTATTATTTGTTCCAGACAACTAAAACTATATTTAAATATGTTTTATCAGAAAGGAAGAATTTATTTTTTATTTTTGTATGAAATTAAATTGCCTAGGATAATCGTCATTGTCAAGTGCAGATCTAATATGTGTTTGTATTCCAAACAGTCAAACATATCATAAATGTATAAATGAATATGAAGAAGAGGCAATGGAATAAAACAATATAAAAATGGCAGGAGATATGTAATCAGAGACATAGAAAACTTGTCAAATACAATTTGAAGTAAGAGATTAAAAAGCAAAGTCGAGTACCTAAGCACTTGCTCATTGAAGCTGAAAGTGAATGCTGCAAGGTGTTATACAATGAAGATCCAGGCAGCCTCTTACTTTCTTGAAAGCTTAAACTTCAGCTTCATGGCTTGTGAGGTTTGAACCTTCTCATCTTTTATATTTCTATCAACAGCTTCAAAAAGATTATCATTTGGCATATACTTTAAAAATAGCCAGCATACCATCACCTTCCTCTAGTTGCTTCACAGCCACTACCATCCCGTTTTTCTTCAATACGACCTGATAAACCTTTCCGGTACCACCATGGCCAATGAAATTATCTCCATCGAAATGACTATTTCATCAGCATCGATATCCATTTTTGACAATTTTGTAACTCTTTTGCTCTTCGAATCCTGATGCTTCTAGAGATCAAAACTGCGGCGATGAAGATAACAACAATGACCAAGAGCATTACATTTTTATAACCAAAGAGAATTCTTCTACGACCATGATCTTTATCACAATTTATTTAACTTTTTGGAATTTTCTCAACACATGAACCTCTGTTTCCAATAAAAACCGCAGTGTGGATGTTGAGCATTTTGATTCAGTCATATCTAAAACACTTTGACTAGGCCTCTATTTGAGCATGATATGATATCTCAAAGTAGTTTATTGAAGTAGATAAGCTTCAATATATCATCAATTCAACAATCAAACCCTAAGCTTTCAATTCAAATAACTATATTGAAGATGATATAGCAAACAATCATGTATCTTGTTGTCTGAAAATAAAATGAAGAGAAGAAACCTGGTGGCAAGTACTTTATCACCAACATTGAACACCCCATCAAACCTAGTTCAATATTATAATCTTTTTTCCTGTTGACATTTTACATTGTCAGGCTTTGTGCTGTAAACAAAACTCAACATCCAATTCAACCTCCCTTCAATTAAACTTGTATTTTAATTTGACTGTATTGAAGACACGTTATAATCAACGAACAGCTGGCCTGAAACTACATCCCTTTTAGAATTTAGGTACAAAACAACTTTGCTTAAATGCCAGCTCTCGCACCAACTCCAATGCTGCCAACATTCCTAATGCATCTCTGATATCAACTGTAATGTTGTCATTTTATGTTGTACATGCTGTCTTGGCTCATCCTTCATGTTCGTTTGTCGTGCAGTCCGCCACTCCGTTTGTAAACAACTCCCACCAATGTATTACATCTGCTGCTCTCTCTGATTTGTTGTCCCAAATTGATGAATTCCTACTCCACAATATCATAAAAAAATTCTCCTTTCCTACTTTGACAGTGAATTTAATATGCGACGGATTTTCTATCCAAATGTTCCTATTTAGCTGCAGCGCATGCTGTGTCTCCACATGTCCAGACTTTGCCAAGTTTGAATACTCTTATTACACAGCAGCAGCACGTGCTCTGCTGTCTCCGACTCCACTTCACGCCACCGATAATCAATCCCAGCCTACACCCTTTTGTATATCAATCTTAGACAAATTGGTCAACATGGTCTACCAGTAGAGAGGTATTTTGCCTACTGGTAGTTGAGTTCCACATCGAAAAAGAAGTGAAAGGTATTGAGAGATGGAGTCTAACACTAATTGAATCGCTAAATTTCATTCCACATCAGAATAATTTCACAAAATGTGTAAGCATATAAGCTATCACAATGTTGTGAAGAGGACATAATCTTTAGTGTTTTGAGTAAAAGAACTTACTTGAAACGCATGATTTTGAAAATCATTATGAAAGACGGTATCTAGATCTTGAAAAATCATATGCTCGGGTGTACATATCTGCCATCACATAAGACCAAACCACCGATAAATGTGGTTATTTTCCGATTATTCCCAAAACCTTGAGTGTCTAATAGAACACATTCCTGGTGAAGCGTAAAGAGGGCTCCCACAACCTGGACCAAAAGTTTCAACTGAATTGGTACTATACTGACTGGAAAGGGGAAAAAGTACTACACCTGTTGATTATAAACAAAAATAACTAACTTCACCTGTTGCTTGAAAATACTAAATTTATTGCTTACTTAACACGGAGATAATACACAATGAATGGTTTGAATGTTTAAGAAACTTTTTAGTTTCTTCATCATCCGCATGACAACATCCTGCAATAAAAAAAATCAATCATTGCTATGTACATTAATACATGAAAACAAAATTGTAGTATTCAATAAGTTCAGGACCAAGAATATCGTTATCTTTTACTAGAAACTCAACTTTTTGAACAGGATGAGCAAATAACAAAATGTGCATCCCATAAAGGGTTTTCGCAATTCAGAAGAACTCTTGTTTGTGCTATAGTTGCACCAGCTAAACAAATAGATACATGGAGATCACTTGTTATGATGCTATCTTTTCTAGAGTGTGTTTTGAATCCTTTGACAAAAGGTGATGTGCACATAGTGAGACATTTTCTAATAGCTTCTAAGTCACCATGTAAGAAAATTGTTTCTTCATTGTAGTGACTTTCATTTTCATTGTTTTGAGAGTTGTGTGGAACAATTTCACCACCTTAATACAGATTGAAAAGTAGAGGGATGTGATAATCGAAATCATTATAGAATAGAACCTAAAATCTATATTCGGACAAAATTGGTTGTAGTTTGTAGATTGCTATAGATCGAAAATGTGTTAGCATCACAACAAGTAAAACCTGTCCATTGAAATCATATCCACAAATTCAATTTAAACGTAACAGAAATGAGGCAGGAGATAGATCTAATTTGGGACATAGATATAATTCTCGGACTGTACTATGCACAACAAACTGTTAAGTGAAACTAAAGCATTTATAATTTTTTAAACAGTTCTAAGGATAGACATGTAAAACTATCTAATACCCCCCACCAAAAAGATATGGTTCAAGGGGCTAGGCTCACCAGGTGTTGCGGGCTGGTGGTACAGTGGCATGTGATCCCTCCACTGTCACGAGTAGGAAGTATTCGCTGCTCTGTGAAACCAGCCTCACGCTGTACCCTCCACCAAAAGCATTTATAATTTTTTAAACAGTTCTAAGGATAGACATGTAAAACTATCTAATACCCCCCACCAAAAAGATATGGTTTCAAGGGGCTAGGCTCACCAGGTGTTGCGGGCTGGTGGTACAGTGGCATGTGATCCCTCCACTGTCACGAGTAGGAAGTATTCGCTGCTCTGTGAAACCAGCCTCACGCTGTACCCTCCACCAAAAGCATTTATAATTTTTTAAACAGTTCTAAGGATAAACATGT